GGTATAAAAATTAACAGTCGTTGCGCTGTTGCTTCAAATGCGAGTAGTTGTTGTAGTACGATTTAACCAATAAAAGTTATTCTAAATACATATAAAATTGTTGGATGTACAGTTTTTTCCTCGGTGCATATATTTTTTTGCAATGCGGACGTTTTTTTGTTTTTGTTTTTTTCGCTGACTCTATAGGTATTTCACTTTTTAATTACCCTTTTTAAAAAATATAAAAGGAGTAATTAAAGTGTGAGCATTTTTTATGAAAAATTGCATAATAATTTTTGGAGTTTTTGTTGTAGTATTAGCCATAATTTTATATAGAGTTATTTTCAAGAGGCCTCCCTGAGAAGTCCTATATTCGGAGGAGAAAGGTCATTTAATTCTTTGGTCTTTGCTCTCATTTTATTTTTTTTTGTACCACCTCTAAATTAAAATTTTTATAGATTTTCTGTGGAAAACCGTAGTTCAATATGCATCAATAGAGGAAAAATTCTCGAATTTTTTAATCGATTCACGGATCCAATCGGAACAAAAAAATCGAATTGGAAGCACTCCATTAATCGATGTTCGATTTAATCGATTTAAAAACGGCATCTATAATGTAACGAATTTATGACCCTAAAAGGACCTATTCACCGAGAAGAAAATCTTCCAATTTGGAAAAATTTGTATTCCAATTTTAAAGCTGTCGGTGGGCATTTGAAATTGTCCATGTAAATAATATGTAAAAAAAATTCATTAAAAATGTTATAACCGCTAATCACCTCAACCTTGAATAAAAATGTATGTGCTTACGGGCTATGAAAGTCGAAAAAAGCAGAAATACGCAGTTTAGGGCTTTATGATTGGAAATATTCATACTAAATGAAAAAAACGTACACTAAAATGATACAAAATGTTGATTATAAACTAGATTTGTCAGAGAAGAGAGAGTTTTAGTCCATTTATTTGTTTTATTGCAGTATTAAACATTAATATTATTTCTAATTATTAATCAAATTTAATTTATTGCAATTAGGCTTTTGTTCTTCGCCTTTCTTCAAAGTTGGATTACAATTTTATATAAACGCAATACCTCGTTCATCAATATCATCAACATATTTAAGACTCTTAACCTCTAATACAACCAACTTTAGGGTAATTTTAGAGAATTTAATGCCCTACAAGAATACACCTAGAAACTCTTTTTATCTGAAACGGTTCAATAGTTTTTAATTAAAACTTATTTACAAGGAAAATTTCAAATGCCCATCGACACCTTTCAAAATTGGAATCAAAATTTTTCACAGTAAATAGGTCCTTTCAAGGTCATGAATTGGTTAGGTTAGTTACCCTAATGTTCATACAAGTGGGCGGTGTCATTTCCAAAATTTTTTTTCAATGTATTTCTCGTAAAAGAGTTACTGCAAACATCAATTTTGAAAACATTCACTTCAGTGATTCTTGATTTATCGAAGATTTCATATTTCTCTAAATTACCGTTGTGTGAGTTTTAAGTGTGGTTATTGCCCAATTTTTTTTTTAATTCTCGGTGGTTTGGTATGTTTTACCACGACCAACAACTGTGCGGCCAACTTCCGTTATATGGGAAGTAGGCGTGGTTATTGTCCGATTTTGCTACTATAATTATTTAGTATTTAATTTTTTGAAGTAGGGAACCTTAGTTCGCGAAATAATCAGTCATAGATTTTCCAAACCTGCTTGTGGTATCGTCTCATATGTCACAATATGCACTCGCAGAGCGCAATACGATTTGCTGGAATGGACTTGAGTAATTTTAATTTACACTTGGGGTCGGACTTTGTCACCTTTGAATAAATCGTTAATATTAAATATGTTTTTAATCTCATCGGCATTAATTAGGTACATACTTTTAATTTAAGCTACATATTTATTTGTTTGATTAAATAAATATTGCTTCAAAAATTTAGAAAAAAACATCGGCAGTTTTGATATATACATATGCACCTACTCAAATATTCACATTGTTTTCCATGTTACATAAATATTTTTCGTTAAATTCGTATATGTAAGTATGTACCAGTGATCGGACTTCTACCACATTGTGGTAGATCTGCCACTTTTTTGAGCATTTACCACATCTACCACACAAGGTCTGAAATCTACCACATATTCGCGTTTTTGAATAGTTTTATTTTTGCTCGACATAATTTTCTTAATTTTAAGAGCAAAAATTGTCCAACACTAAACACTAACAACAGGCCGAATGGGAGGATAAAATAAACCGTAAAATAGTAAATATTCAATTTTTCGACAGGAAACATGGTTGTGTTAATATGTAAAATAAATGATTTATAAACAAGAATTAATAGCGAAAATGTTAAAAAACAGCGATTTTTGTGAAAGTATTAGAAAATTTCGGTACATCTAAAGATTCTGAGGCGTTGTTTACCTTTACTTGAGAATTGTCAAAATCAGCAAATCCCAAGTAGCGGTTTCTGGAACGTGCCACATTTGTCCGCTACATCGAGATGTGATAAAAAGAAAAACTGGCATCACTCCGCTAGGTTGCAGAAATCTTTCAAAATATGTTCGAAAAATATCTTGATATGAAAGGAACTGCTTTACACTCTCAAGGAAAAAAATTGCCAAAACTCAATGGAATTTTTAGCAACTTAAATCTTGCACTTTATTATACTAAACTAAATTTATTTTAGATTCTAATTAAAATGTTTGCAATTTAAGTGAAACATTGAGGAATATTTTTAATTTTTGTACAAAGTTTGATCCAAAACCAAAGATCTATCACATTTTTTTTGAAATCCACCACCACTGGTATGTACTAGAGGTATACGCACCCGAACGTCGCCGCCGCCGCCGCCGTTTTTTGTCATTCCTCACGCGCCGCCGCCGAGTTACGAAAATATCGGCGCGGCGGCGGCGTTCGGCGCCTAAGGAATTTTGTACAAAATTTTCATGATGTATGTGCATTGAAATACATCGTGTGAAGGAACTAAATACTACTAGTATAAAAACACAATTTTAAAACACAAATTTTTTTAAAGGAGTTGCTTTTGCATAATTTGGGCCAGTGGAAAATAATATGATCTCCTTTATTTTTACAATAAGAGCATAACTTTGAAAAAACATAGGTAACATATTTTTCGACGAAAGCGTTAATTACAGTTAAATTAGGGTCGAATACTGGTAATCTAACGATTTTTTCCCGCAGTAGACAATTCTTTTCAATACTACAACAACACTACTTTTTTATACACCTACTACAACAACAAGAAAGTTATAACACATCAAAAACTTTAACGCCAATGTCTAAAGAAGCAGTTTTAATAGAAGCGGCTTCTTTGCATCTAACTCCTCAATTCTTGGAGATAAAACAAAGAAAAGTTGATTTTTATATGTATTTTTTTTTTAATATTTTAAACAAACACATTTTTGCTAATATTTACATTCGTACGTTATTTTATTCTGGGGTCCCACATACGTATACAAGTACTAGGTGGCTGTGTGAAAATTACGTTAGCATTCCCTAGTGGTGGTCAAACCCCAGGAAGGTTTTGCTCCCTCGCATCGCAAGGTTTTCTACACAGGGTTATGGTAAACATTAGTATTATTTTTCATTACATTCGGTTCTCCTTGGAAAAATTTGGCGCTTCATATTTTAGGGGAAATGTTAACCATCTATAAGCAATTTTTTTTCAACAGTGGGTCTAATAGGCCCGTTCTGGTTCGAGTTGATGGGTTAAACTTTTGGAAAAAAGTAGACCAACCTTGTTTTCAATATGTAATCCGCAAAAAATCGTATGAACTCCGTAATTTAACATAACGGTTGATAAGATTATTGCAAAAATTTATTGAGAGCGACATAAATTACCCCAATAACTACACTTTTAATTTTTTTTCTATAAATTTAAATAGCATATACGGATCTGTAGAGAACATAGAGATCCATGTGATTATGTATGTATATACCTCAGACCTTCTTCTGTTCGCCCATCAATAAGCGCCAGACACTCAACATTTTAATTCAAGACAGAAGGAACAATATTTAAATTTAAAACTAATTCAATAATGAAATAAATAGAATTATAATAACAGAATAATTGGCACGGCGAATGCCTAACGCTGACGAGTTGAAATGATAAGATTAGTAGTCTCATGGATCTTTGAAATCTACCTTATGAGCAGTAGCGCCAGCGTTTCAAGACGCGCCGGTGTCGCCGCCCCCCGCCGAATATTTTTGAAGTTGACCACGCCACCGCCGCAAAGCCTGTCGGCGTAAACCTCTAGTATGTACATAAATATGTAAATCCAAGTTTAAAACTTTATACGAAATTTTGGAAAATTCTAAAAAATTTCAATATTTATCAAGATTTTAAAGTTTTTAACCAGAATTAAACAAAAAAAAATTTTCATTAGCGCAATAAAGCGCATGTTTCAAGCGGATAAGAATTGAGTTTTGATCATTTTTTTTGCTGACGGTGCTACTCATTTTGTTCTAAATTAAGCTACATGCATAAGTTCGAGAGGGAGTATTTTAGTCTCTAGTCTTCCTTTAATTTATTTTAAATTTAAATTTTGAGCGAGTTTCTCAGCCAAACACTAACATATGTGTAAGCACCAATCTAATATTATTATTTTAATTTAAATTTTTTTGTTTAACATATTCTAAATTATTTTATTTCATTTCATTTTTTAAGACACTTGAAAGCTTTAATAGGAGACGATTAAATTTTTATTTTTTCAATTGGTCTATTTTATATTTTCCGATTTGCCTAAATTTGCCCATTTCACAATTAACATATGTACTATTTGAATACATATAGTTTTTAATTTTTTTTATTAAGAAAGGTTTTTTTGCGAAAAACACGCATTAATTTCGTTTTGGAAAACATTTATGCGCATGCTCATAGGTTAAATACTACACATAATTTCGATTTTTAAATTGCTTAGGTAATGTTTGTATTAGTATGTATGTAAGTATATACCCGTTTGTTTATATATTTACAGCATAGTATTGCAGTTACCTTTAGCAAATTTTATTCAAAAATCGTTACGCATTCGTTTCCGTCTTTCCCAACTGCACTTCAACCGAAACACTAAACTCAATAGTCCCACAGGTTTGTGCTTATATTAGAACGTGTCTATATTTCTATACACTTGTGATCAGCTAATTAAGCCAGCAACATTTTGATGAATTTTGGCCATTTTTCTTTTGTTTATTTACAGGTCTGCGCGGCTAATAAAGAGTTTTTAACCGGTAAATAAAGTTCCTGTAAATTTTTAAACCCTTTTCGCATTTTGTGTACTCTTGTAATCGGTAAATTTTGTTACCATCGCATAAGCTACCCAGCAAAAAATCGGTAATTGCTTTTAGTGGTAACGTGTTCTAGAAGGCATAGCGTTATAATGCCTTCGAATTTTTTCGCTTCTTTTAGGCATTGTCGGTAATGCAAAGTAGAATGTCCTAAAATATTTTATTTATTTCGCTTCTTTGTTTCATATTGGGGAATGCAAATTAGAATGTCCTATAATATTTCTTTCTTAATTCGCTTCTTTGCTTCATTTCAAGGAATGCAAAGTAGAATGTCCTACAATATTTTTTTTATTTCGCTTCTTTGCTTCATTTCGGGGAATGCAACGTAGAATGCTGCATCGTAGTCAGCTGAAAAATATATTGAATATCCAAAAAAATCTTTTCCTACCGTTAGTTTCTGTGGAAATTTGTCTCGCATAAAAATCATGTTTTGCTTTGTTCAATTTGCAGCGAAGTTGAAGTCAGTCAATG